AAATAATATAAAAAGTTGATATATCAAATTTATGTTTTACAATTGATCTAATTTCATTAAATTTGTATTATAAATAAATATATTTTTTCTATAATTTGTGATCAAAATTTTGCACCGTTTAACGAAAAAAGTCATATTCTGATAATATTTTAAGAACGAGAGAATACAAATTTATATTATCTTCTGCCCTATATTATACTACCTCTGTCCCATTGTCTTTGTCCACTTTTGACTTTTGGAACTGTTTATCTAAACACTTTGACTCATCAAATTCTCTCAATGTGTAAGCCTAAATATAGTCATGTGTGATCTTGTTTGATTTGTCTTAACATATAGATTATTATTATATATACTTTCTATAATTTTTTAATATACAAATTACAAGATAAAATGGATTAAAGAAGTGCATTGGATGGCGTACCAAAAGGTAAGTGGACAAAGACAGTGGGACGGAGGGAATAATCTTCTACACAATTTGAGGCATTTGGTAAGTTTTATTTGCATACGTATTTTTATTGATATCATAATGAATATGCATGTCACCACATATTTTAGTTCTATATGTACTTAAAATAAAATCAATTTGCAAGTGATGAGATTTACCTTTTTCCTACAAAGACTATGTGTAGTCGTATACCGTGGGGGTGGGGATATACACCATGTGGGAGCCATAGCCATAGCCATGAGCCCCACCCGAGATCCCCTCAAACCAAATTGGATAGTCATTGAGAGAAAGTATATTTTAATCGTAGATTGATGACAAAGAATAAAGTTTAAATCTGATAACTATATAATAAGTAATTGCTAATATTTTCATACTTTTTTTAATAAAATTAAATGTGAGAAAGATGTGAGGTAAAAATATGTAGACTAAAGTCTAGCAACTCTTAACTTAATTAAATCGTTCGATAATGATATTTGTACTCTACTAACTACTACTCCCTCTATTCCATATTAACTGTCTATTATGACTTTCTTGATACATTGAAAAATTAATGAATGTAGACATACTAATTATTTTGATCTGACACCCCAAATTTTACTAGTTACACTCCACATTTAATATTTCTTGTCAAAATTGACCATGTTGCCCTTTCTTTCATAAACCATTTAATTGAATTTATTTTAACATATTGAGAACCCTATTGAGCTCCGTATTCTAATTTCCGATCTCATTATACTATATACAACAAAATTATGGCATTTCTTTTATAAATTATAATAATATCTTATTTTATTATTACATAGTTTATTATACTTAATGTGGAGTAAATAATGTGAAATTTATCAAGTACTCCGTATAATAAAACTATACAGAGTATTATAAATTTATAAAGTAATATCTCATTTTAAATATTAATTAATAAAACAACTATTAGAAATAATGTTATAGAAATTCACTCCTTATACGTGCTTATAAAATTATAACACAAATTAAACTTCATAAAGAGTAAATAAACTATGATATTTTATTTTAAATATTTAGTCAACGATTAACCATTAGAAATAACTATCCTAGCAACTCACTATTTATAATTTTAAAAACTAAATTCATCACTTTTTTATGAATTAAAAATGTTAATGCTTTCTTTTAAAATTTATTCAATAACCAACTACGGAGTATTATATTGAAATATTCTAGAAATTACTTGTTACACTAATTAAATTATTATCCAAACTTTATTAAGACTAATGAAATTATGATACATATTTTTTAAATTTATTCAACACTCTCAGAAAACTTTTTTCAATTACATTAAACAATTTCTCCTATTTCAATCATTTTTATACAAAGGATAAAAGGATAAGTCAATGTCATTTTTAACACTCTCTTAAAATATGTAAGGTCAAACTGTGAATTGTAATTTTGGAATGAAGATAGTTGAGTAGTAAATTGTCGTAATATAATTGTAAAAACTAATTTACGTCAAACTTGTATTTTCCATTAGTCACAGGAGATATATATACATGACAGAGTACAGTAGCTACGGGCCCATAATATACGTGGCCCAATACATGATAAACAAATATTTACAAATATACTAGGCTAACACTCCCCCTCAAGTTGGAGCATGAATATCATAAATGCCCAACTTGGACAATAAACTGTGAAAAAGAGGACCAGAGAGAGCCTTTGTGAAGATATCCGCTGTCTGAAAGCGCGTAGGGACATATGCAGTGACAATATGATTACGCTGAAGGCATTCGCGGACTATATGACAGTCAATATCAATGTGTTTCGAACGTTCATGGAAAACTGGATTTGCCGCGATGAACAAGGCAGACTTGTTGTCACAATATAGACGAGGAGTTGCAACGCACGGTACATCCAAGGCGGCCAAGATCCCACGCAACCAACGAATCTCAGCACAAGCATTTGCCATAGCACGATACTCAGCCTCCGCAGAAGACCGAGAAACTGTATTCTGCTTCTTCGTGCGCCAGGAGACAGGAGAACCGCCCAAGAGAATAAAATAGCCAGTGATAGACCACCGTGTGAGGGGACAGCTGGCCCAATCAGAATCAGAAAAGGCGGTGAGGGCGAGATTACTATCGCTGCGCAACAAAATTCCCTGACCAGGGTGGCCTTTTAAATACCGAAGGACACGAAGAGCCGCATTCCAATGATCAAGACGAGGAGCCTGCATAAACTGAGACAGAGTGTGAACAGCATAACATATATCAGGACGAGTGATAGTGAGATAGAGCAGACGGCCCACAAGACGACGAAACTTAAGAGAATCCCGAATCTCAGCGCTAGTGGAACGAGCTAGATTATGGTTAACGGGCAAGGGTGTTTCGGCAAGCTTACAACCAAGGAGATTAGCCTCCTCAATAATGTCAAGGGCATACTTTCGCTGATTTAGGACCATACCATCGTGTGAATGAGCACATTCGATCCCCAGAAAATAAAACACAGGACTGAGATCTTTGAGATGAAAACAGTCGTCCAAATATTTCTTGAACGAAGTACACAATGATCTGTTGTTACCTGCCACTAAAATATCATCAACATAAACAAGAACAACCAGCATGTCAGGACCATTGTAATAAGAGACAACACTTTGACCCTTTTGACGGAGAGAATTCAACTCTGATTTTAGTTGGTAGACACGCGGCCCATTGGAACAACTATAGCGTTTCTTCAAATCATCCCACAACTCATAAGCAATTGAGTGAGACAATACTAGGTTGAATGGATTCATCAACACTATTAAAAATTCAACTACAAATAATTTGATGATTTGCACACCAAGCAGACAACTCGCCTTCATCAACAGGTTTGGGAACCCCTGCGGGTGACAAAAAAATAGCTTTTCCACGACCACCCAACGCATTACGTATTGCCTTCTCCCAAACATCAAAATTATCACTTTTGAGGAGATATTTCATCAAAGAATTACCCGGACCTTCGGAGGGATGAAGGTAATATATGGAGGAGGCATCATGAATCAGCCGTGCCTTTTTAGGGTTAGAGGCGACCACTTCTCCAGACATGGTGACGATCGGCGAAGAAAACACGGAGGATCACAACGGACGTCTGCCCCGACGAACTGTCGGCGACGAACCTGACGGAGAACTGGCGACGAACCGACGGCTAACACTCCGGACGGCACACGAACGAAAAACACGAGCGTAGGGTTTCGAGAATTTTGCCCTAGGACCGCTCTGATACCATGTAGAAACTAATTTACGTCAAACTTGTATTTTCCATTAGTCACAGGAGATATATATACATGACAGAGTACAGTAGCTACGGGCCCATAATATACGTGGCCCAATACATGATAAACAAATATTTACAAATATACTTGACTAACAATAATATTCTTCACATATGCAAAATTGTAGTTTAGTGACAAGAGTTTTAAGCTCTCCAAATTATATTTCTATGAATTTAAATTTAAAAAAAAAGAAAAAAGAAACATATATGTTGTTCATTAAAGAATATTACTTTTTAAATATATTGGAATAAAATAAAATTTATTAGTTCAAGGTATTGTAAAAAAAGGGGTAACTTGGTCAATATCCACCTAATATATAAAAGGTGGAGTGTAACAAGTAAAATTTGGAGTGTATATATCAACAGCCCTAAATTACCTATTCATAAGTTACTGTAAGTCGTAACAATGAAGAACTAAAATTGTGTACTAAGTACAGCATAAATTTTCATACTCATCTAAATAACAAAAATTAGTTTACCCAATTACTTCAAAATATTTTGAAACATAGATGTAATATGAAAAAACATTCTTAAATATATATAATTGAGATATCTACGTCAAAAAGATATTTTTTTTCTTTTAACATAATACTCTTAATTACATGTTATTTAATTTATTTATTCCAACAAAAAGGCATAATTGAAATATCAATATATTTGATGCTTATTTAAGTCGTAAAAAAATACATATTTTGCTCATATGTAGGTCCATGATGGACATTAGATCCACTATAGAATTTGACATCAAGAGTATTTATAAATGGTTAAAGTTTATAATAATTAGATTAAAAAAGTGAAACGATAAAAAATTCAACCATGTTAGGATTATACTAAGAAATATACCTCAAGTTATACTCGAAAGAGATGCACTAGTATTTCTACGGTTCACACTGACATAAAAATGTTAATATCATTAAAAAATTTGCACTGACATTTTGTGTCATTGTAATCATTAAACTAGCATTGCACTAGCATAAAATGTTGGTGCATGCATTTGAAATACAAAGTAGAGTATAATTTTTGCGGCACAAATAGCTTAATTCTAAAAAATTGTTGAGGCGGAATAAGTAAAAAACTCTATTATTGAAGCACACACTAAAGAAGAAATTTGCATTAAAAAATGAGAGAAATTAAAGTATGTGAATCTTTCATTCGGGTTCAAGGACCTAATTGATGTAAACGTTGAAGTATACTATCATTCCATTCATTCGTGTAGTTTCCAAGACTAACTAAATTATTGGCTAATATTATTGTTGTTTTAATGGTTGATAACAAGAAACGGGGCGGGAGAAGAATGGCATCCAGGGGTATGCACATCGGCAGGGCGGGGCCGGAAGCAAGAGTGAGGAAGTGAAGTACGAGTGCGATCTGGTAATTCCTAAAGATTTCGGGGAGGTGGGAGCAATTTTGATAGAGAATGAGCACCACCAGGAAATGTTTGTGAAGAAGATCGTTCTTGATGGTTTATTCCATGATGGTGCCTCACTTAGCATCAACTGTGATTCCTGGGTCCACTCCAAATTCGATAATTCTGCTAAAAGAGCTTTTTTCATCAACAAGGTTAGTCCTCCCTATTATACAATTGTTACTTTGACATGACATTATCTACCCTATACCCCAAATTTCTATCTCATTATCTACCCTATGGCTTTACACGAGACCAAGATATAAGTGTGAAATTAGAATTATGCTAGCACTTACATTTTGCAAATCTTCAAAGCCTTAAGGTAGATAATGAGGTACAAATTTGAGATACAAATAGAATTTTGTGTTAATTAAGTGAAAGTTCTATTTTGATACATGATGTACCTTTGGGTACTAGGAACAGGTATTGAATCAAAATTGACCCTACATAATATCAAAATGGTACAGAACTGGTGGTTTTGGTACTGGAACCAGACGAAAACCTTTACAAAATAAGATATTATAAGAGTATTGTAATGGACGGAAAATTTGTGGTTATTGAAAGAAGAATAAATATGGAGTTATGGACATAAGGTATGTCTACATTCATTCATTTGAATTTACATAAAAAGCTACAATGATTAGTTAAAATTGAATTGAGGAGATAATTTAACGTTAATATTGTTATCAAAAATAGTGAAAAATGACAAATTTCGATAAATTTGGAAGGTCGGTTAAAAGTGAAATTATTTGGCAAATTTGGAAAGTCGGTTAAAAGTTAAATTATTTTAGATAAATTATTTAGAAAAACCAGATTGCTACTATTTGATAAGAATTTCAAAAAATTATTGTTTTCGTTTCCCTTCCAAATTTAATTCAACCAAAAATACGGTCAAAATTTCACCCCATTTGTAATGAATTGTGAACAGTCGTACTTACCATCTCAAACTCCAAGCGGGCTGAAGAAATTAAGGGAGATAGAGCTAGCGGCACTGAGGGGCGACGGCACCGGCGAACGTCAAAAATTCGACCGGATATATGATTACGATGTTTATAACGACATTGGCGATCCCGACGGAAGCGACGACGGGATCCGTCCAGTTCTCGGCGGCAAGGAGCATCCTTACCCCAGACGATGCAGAACCGGGCGCCCTCTCTCCAAGAAAGGTACCCTATGATGATTGATGATCTAACGATCGTTTCATTTCTCTTGATAACTTGATATCAAATATTCAAATAGGATGAAGATTCAAGACTGAGTGAGTAATTTTGGATTCAAAGTTTCATAAGAAACATTGCGATAATTTTCATTAATCTGAATATTGAGGGTTGAGACAGTTTTCAAAAAAAATTTGAGAGTTGAGACTGTTCTTGCTTTTCCTGGATGCAGACCCTTCGTCTGAATCGAGAAGCTCCTCTGTTTACGTTCCGAGGGGCGAAGCATTCGCAGAAGTGAAGAATCTAACATTCGCTGGAAATACAGTTTATTATGTGCTTCATGCTGTGGTGCCAGCAATCGAGTCTATCCTCGTCGATGTAGATATGGGGTTCCCACATTTTCCAGCCATTGATGATCTGTATAACTATGGGTTTAACATTCCATCTCAGCAAACCGGAGGAATCCTAAATGGCGTCGTACCTAGGATCATCAAGTCCAAAGCAGATGTCGCAAAACATGTCTTGCAATTCGAAACCCCTGCAATGATTGACCGTAATGAGCTCTCACTCTCTCTCTCTCTCTCTCAGGGTTACACATGATCCTTTTTGATATTTTTCCCGATTTCTTTCATGACACATATATTTATGTTATTGATCCTGAGGACATCATAATGTTGTTATTGTAGGAGACAAATTTTCTTGGTATAAGGATGAGGAATTCTCTCGACAAACCCTAGCTGGACTTAATCCATGCAGCATAAAACTGGTAAAGGTATGCCTAGTTTAGGTCCCCCTTGTCCCAAGATCACTGTTATTTGTTTGAATTGCCATGAAAAAAGTGTAAGATGTGTTCATTCAGGAGTGGCCATTGAAGAGCAAGCTGGACCCCAATGTCTATGGCCCTCCAGAATCTGCGATCACAAAAGAGCTGATTGAGAAAGAACTTACAGGTTCCATGACCGTTGAAGAGGTACATTACAGTGAACACACTCGGACTTGGATTGGATTCCGTTTTCCTGAGACATTAATTTAACCTCCGTTGTGATAGTATTTGGTATTACCATGGAGAACATATGAAATTGCAGGCAGTGAAGGAGAAGAAGCTTTTCATTTTAGACTACCACGATTTGTTACTGCCTTTAGTGAACACAGTGAATGAGCAAGAGGGGACTGTGTTATATGCATCGAGGACAGTGTTTTTCTTGACAGACACTGGCTGTTTGAGGCCCTTAGCCATTGAGCTCACAAGACCGCCCGTAGATGGAAAGCCACAGTGGAAGCAAGTGTTTTGCCAGACCTGGGATGCCACTGGATCTTGGCTCTGGAAGATTGCTAAAGCCCATGTTCTTGCTCATGACTCTGGCTATCACCAACTAGTCAGTCACTGGTATATAGTTTTTGTTAAATCTGCAGTGACTAATCATTCGACCACTAAGAATTTTTGGAAATTTAAGGGGTCTCTTTTTAAATGCTGTTTGTAGGTTAAGAACTCACTGTGCTATAGAGCCATATATTATTGCAAGCAATCGGCAGCTCAGTGCTCTGCACCCTATTTTCAGACTGTTAAAACCTCACTTCCGTTACACCATGGAGATCAATGCATTGGCTCGGCAAGCTCTTATTAATGCAAATGGTATTATTGAGAGTTCTTTCTCCCCCGGAAAGTACTCTATGCTGTTAAGCTCTATTGCGTATAAACTTGAGTGGCAGTTTGATCTTCAAGCATTGCCAGCAGATCTTATAAACCGGTAAGGCGCGGTAACTAGCAATTCCTCTATGACTCTTGATGTACATCTCACACCCCCACCCCTCTCCCTCCCCCTCCCCCAAGGAAAAAAATAGTACTAATGGTCCGTTAGGTACCTAGAAAATTTGAGGGAAAGAAAAAAATGAAACATTTTGAAGGAAAGAGTATTTGAAAAAAACGGTTCAAATGAGGGAGGGAGTCAGGAATTTGCATTATCAGGACCTAAATTTATCTGGTGACAAAATCTTAAGATCTCTTGAAATTATACGAGTATACAAAAAATGCTTACATTTAGAGCAATATATTGAGCTTAAATTATTGCAGCCCCGTCACTGGTTCAAATAATCAATTTTATATATGCGTTCAAACTCATAATATTTATAAACTCTACTATTATGAAGACGGAAATTCTAAATATGTGTAAAAAATTAAATGTTCTAATGAAATTGGATTTTCCTTGGCATTCGTTTGCCTATCTCAACCATTTCCCAGGTTCCAAACATAGTCTAAAAAAGATGTTAAACTTTCTTGTTTTACAAATTGGCAGGGGATTGGCGGAGAAGGATCCCACAGCTCCGCATGGTCTTAAACTGGCGATTGAAGACTACCCTTTTGCTAATGATGGATTAGTGCTTTGGGACATCATTAAAGAATGGGTGACAGATTATGTTAGCCACTACTATCCAGATGAGAGTCGGGTGGCATCCGATACAGAACTCCAAGCATGGTGGACAGAAATCCGAACAGTCGGGCACACAGACAAGAAAGATGCAGCTGGTTGGCCAGAACTGGAAACCCCCAACGATCTCATTGAAATTTTGACGACCATGATATGGGTATGTTCAGGACACCATGCCGCGGTCAACTTCGGTCAGTATGTCTTTGCAGGGTATTTCCCAAACAGGCCCACGATCGCAAGAACGAAAATGCCCACGGAAGATCCCACTGAAAAGGAATGGGAAGATTTCATGAAGAAGCCCGAGGGTGCACTCTTGGAATGCTTTCCTTCACAGCTTCAGGCGACCAAAGTTATGGCAATTTTGGATGTTTTGTCGAACCACTCCCCGGATGAGGAGTATCTAGGGGCTTCACCAGAACCACACTGGATTGAAGACCCCATCATCAATGATGCATTTGAGCGGTTCGGTGGGAGGCTGAAGGAGCTCGAAGGTATCATTGATGGTCGGAATCAAGATAGGGGTTTGAAGAATAGATGTGGGGCTGGAGTTTTACCTTACGAGCTCTTGAAGCCATATTCAGAGCCCGGCGTAACTGGCAAAGGTGTGCCGAACAGCATCTCCATTTGAGCCTGGAGAAGCCTTATTATGGCTAAGGTGCTGTGATGATTTAAATAAATTAATTAATAAATAATTCCGGGAGATTCCCAACTCCCCTTGTTGGCTTGTTTATGCTCTGATTGTGTAATGCTCAGAAACCTGCTATGCTAATAAACTCTTTTCAGAATTTCTTTACCCAAAAGTTAGCTCAATCACTCCCTGGCGGATGTACATGTGTTGGAATGGGGGCACTTGCCCCCAGTGGCTTTCAATTTTTTTTTTTTTAAAAATAAATACCCTAATCATTTTTAAAATTTTCAATATGCCCCCATTAAAAAACAATTAATGCCCCATTAATTTTCCAAACTCTACTTCGGTAAAGAAAAAGGAGTCAAGCCATTTTAAATGCTAAACCACTGTAAATTTGTTTTGTACTTTATTTATTAATAAATTCTTAATCTAAAATACTTATTTACTTAATTACTAATTTCATCCTAGAGTATTTCACCAGTTTGATTTTTTTTAGTTATATTGGACAAACTTTAATCATTAATTAAACAAAACTTGCATTGGATTTTGGTACAAAAATAATTTGGTAAGGTTTATCTAAGGGAAAAATTTAGAAATTTATTTATTGTAATAATACCTAATACAAATTTAATGTAATTAATAATTATAATTTAACCAATTTGACTCACAAAATTATACTGAACAAATACTACGAACAAAAGTATTACTCTCTCCGTCCCAAATTATAATGCATGTTCACTATTCACAGGGTCAAATTTTATTCACTTTCTTTCTCAATTTTCGTTAGCAAATTGATAAAATAAAATACTATTGTCACTACTAGTTTTGTAGATCTTTTGATGTAATATTTTAATATGTAATTTTTTTTAAGTATATACCATTTGTCATATAAAATGATTTGAAAATAATTTCAATCAAACATCGTAAATCGAAACAGGCGTTATAAAATAGGACGGAGGGAGTACAAATTATGTGTACTAATTCACAATGTTGAAATAATATTTAACATTATTTTTATCATTTCACGTTGTCTTTCAAAAAAATTCTGAAGACACTACCCGTGGACTTGTGCCTTCTTATTTTTTCCCTTAGTCCTCCCATTTTCTGGATTCGCCATTTTTGGGTCTCTTTGGAACTCAAAAATGTCCGCAGAAACACAATTATCAGTAAAAGGGACTCGAACTCAACTAAAAAAAGAACATTTTAGTCACGGAGCATTTACTTTTTTTAAACTAGTCATTTCGCTCATTGGTTTTTTATAACACTTTTTATACGTTTTACTCATTCTAAAAATAATACACTTTTGTTTTTAGTATTTTTTGAGTTTTTACAGGTTGTAATCAAACATATTCAGTGTTATGGGTTGTTTGGGCTAAGTTTTTTGAGGTGATGGATGGGTCGGCAAATACCAGACGAACAAAATGAACTTGAGTAAACGGGGACACTTGCATGCGAAGGTCTTCAAATTCTCCGGCATTTGGACAGGGCAAAATAACAGACGGAAGAGTGGCATGAGCGATGAGCATGCTATGAACGAGGCCTTGATGCAATAAACTCGTGAGTAGGGCGCGTCCATGACTATCTAGGTGTAACAACTCATTCGTCTATCCAAGAAGTGGCATCTTGTCCCGAGACTTCAAGTCCCAAAACATTTCAAGACGGATTCGTCGACTAATGTTGATTCGGGACATTCTTCCTCTCGAGTCTAAATAAATTTGAATGACTTGAATGATGACAGGGAAGAGTACTTCATGCATCCCGAAGCTCAGTGCCTGCCTGGTCGCAACAACGGAAGAAAATGACCAATGTCCTTGGGAAATAAAAATTAAGAAGAGAAGTTGGACAAGATGTATATGAAAAAGTTCGTTGATCTCCAACTAGAAAATTATACAACAATGACATGCGCATGTTGTAAACTGCAACAGAATATTGATCACTTGACCGAGTGCGTTAGATAGGACACCAATAGGGTGAAGGAAAACATCTGGGCGAAATAGAACATGGACGACTAGTATATTACTACATCTGTTCCAGTGTATTTGTCCAGTTTGACTTTTTTGAGTCAAAATTGATTAACTTTGAGCTTCAATAAAATAAAAATCGTAATGTATTTTAGTGTAAAATTAATTTTATTAGATTTATCTTATTCAGAACTTTCAAAATTTTATTTCGTTATACTAATATGCAATACGTACAAGTTTAGGGTAATTGAAATTCAAAGCTTTTGTAATTTTTTTCATTGTTTTTTACGTCATGAATGCATTTACTTTGAATTATGTTAAAATTGATAATTTAATTTACATGTTAATGCATAAATTCCACAATTGAATTAAAAAAAATTAATGATTAACCAATAATTAGGTCAAGTACCGTCAAGCCCCTCACCACAACACACTTTGGCGTGATAAGACCGGTGATGGGGTGACATGCCACGTGGAATCTACGTGGCGGTGTTCAAGCTCCCATAAAGCGTATGATACACATAGCTTAATAATTTAAACATGTTAGCAAGAAATACGATTCTGGGGTTTTTAAATGGCAAAAACTATAAGCATGAAAGATCTAGTTTGAGCAAAAAAGATGAAATTCATAAATGTTCTAAGAGTAGGAAAACAAAGTGAAATTTGCACTAAATAAGACTAAAACATAATGACTTTCCTAATGTAGGACTTAAACTTTTTTATTCCCTAAATAGGACTAAATAATGACCTCGTGGGAGGAATAATGTCCGGTAATGCTAGACATTTACTTGAATAATGACTACTTGTTAATGACCAAAAGTCCTACATTGGGAAATAAAAACAAATGATCCTATATTGGAAAAGTCATTATGTTTTAGTCCTATTTAGGTAAATTTCTCAAACAAAGTTTCTAACGACAGCTTGTTTTTTTAATTTATTTTATTAGAGAGAGAATGATCCCGTTTGCGAAGGATTCAAAAAGTGTTTGTGATTAATCGTTCAATGAAGAGACTATTGATCTTATGGTTTTAGAGTGTGATGATAATGAGATACTTCACTTAAAAGAACATAAGAAACCCATTATAGAAGAATATGCAAAATAGTGGAAAATAAAATCATCAAAATTACCATGTAGAAAATATTCATGATCCAAGTAAGCAAGCTAATATTATTGCAAGCTTGCAAGATTTATTAGTATAACATGGTAAATATAGAGAGTGAGGATCCATTCCGTTCAACTTATTTTTTCTGATCTAATCTGACTTTTTGTAGTTCTGATCTGATCTGATTGGATCTGATCTGACCTAGTCTGATCTGATTGGATCTGATCTGATCTGATTGAATCTGATATGATCTGATTAATTATGATTTGATTTAAAATTCAAACAGTTTGATCGGATTTTATAATAACTTTTGAAAATTGTAATGATAATTCATATTATAATATAATCAATATTTTTTATTTTATGATTATTTTACACTAAAATAAACTCCATATATAAATATCAAATGTTAATTTTATTTAAGTCATGATCAAAGCAGATCAATTCGATGTAGTAAAAGATCAAAACGTTAGAAACTCAAATCAAAGCTACAAATAAAAATGTATTTCAAAAGTAGAATTAGATTGACATTGTCAATGTATTTTAAAAATAATTTCTTCAACGTCAAATAATTAAAGATTACTTTCTGAGTTTTCAATTTAACTTGTTTCTAAAGTTTATTCTTTTTCATTTTCATGAAAAAAAGTGTTCTTCATATCATTTTATTTTTCTCTATATAAATTATAATCGCACAAAAGTTTGATTTTCTTTCTTATATTTTTGCAAGAGAAATTAAATTTATTTTTTGAAACAATCGTATCAAGTGAAACACTTTAAAAGTATGGAATTTAAAATAATAATAAGAATAATAATAATAAAATTAATAATAATAATAATAATAATAATAATAATAATAATAATAATAATAATAATAATTCTAGATTAGATCTGATCTGATTGGATCTGATCTGATTTGATTTGATTGGATCTGAACTGATCTGATTAAATATAATTTGGTCTAATCTAATAAGATTTTAATAAGAATAAGAAAAAAATAAAAAAATTAGTTGAATGGAACAGGGCCTTATAAGACATTTTAATCCTTCATTTTATCTCCATAATTTAAAGAACAAATAAAAGTTTGATCGAAGATGGTTGCTTTACTCGCAACAATTAAGCAGAGTACCTTGTTTTTGCTGCAAATTGTTTAATGCGAGTATTTAAATGAAATGCTTTATACTTTGGCCTTGTTTGGATGTTAGCTGTTGGCAGTTGGCACTTCGTGCTAGCTGTTGTGAATGGTTATTTTATTCAGGTGGTTTGACCGGCAGGATGAATTGATTGATCGTTAAACATGTTTGGTAAAATTAGTTGTTTGAAAATAGTTTTTCCTATATATATATATATATATATATATATATATATATATATATAGGGATTGACTCCAGTGAGATGACACTTTATGGTGCGATGACAATGCTTCGGTCAGATGATGCAAAGCTCACCACTGCCCACTGCAAAGCTCACCAAACACAACTACAAAGCTCACCAAACTGTAAGGCAAAGCTCACCATATTTTTTTCCAACACTTTGAATTTTTTTTGAAAAAATAAAATCAAAGGAAGGGGTGTTGACTAGACTTTGACCGTTGACTCCAGCATTGACTGCCGCCTGCCGCCGCCAGTCGCCGGTCGCCGCCGCCGCCTGCGGCCGCCGTTGACCGGTGGTTGACCGGTGTTGCTATTTTATTTTTAATTAATTTTTTAATTTTCAAAATTAAAAAAAGTGAGTTTTGGGGTTCAAAGTGGTGAGTTTTGCTTTATTTCTAGGTGAGCTTTGCATTGTCCATTGGTGAGCTTTGTAGTGTAGTGTGGTGAGCTTTGCGTCATCTGACCGAAGCATGTCATCGCACCGTAAGGTGTCATCTCACTGGAGTCAATCCTATATATATATATGTATGTATGTATGTATATATATGTATGTATGTATGTATACACACGCACACACAATATTTATTTTTCATTTTTTTACATGTAAAAATTAAATCTTTACTATATTAAGTATTAAATTTAACTTTCATTTAAGTGGTAAGAAATTATTAATATACTCCCTCCGTCCCAAAATATTACAACATTTGCTTTTTCAGCAGTCGCGG